GGTGGGGCCTCACCAGTGCCCAGTAGAGAGGGGCGGTCGCTGTGCTGTGGGGCAAGCAGGCAGTTCCTCTGCCCATGACTGGCTCCTGGCTGTGCCCAGGCAGGTTATTTGGCTCTTTGCTTTGGTTTTCCATCGCCACAGTGGGCATTTCCCAATGTTTGGACCTGAAGCTGTGTGATGAGTGGAGATAGGTCCTGTTTGCTGACCCAGTGTGAATCATGGAATGGTTTGGGTTGGAAGGGACCTTAAAGATCATCCAGTTCCAACCCTCCTGCCATGGGCAGGGACACCTTCCACTAAACCAGGTTGCTCCAAGCCTCATCCAGCCTGGCCTTGGACACTTCCAGGGATGGGGCATCCACAGCTTCTCTGAGCAACCTGTTCCAGTGCCTCCCCACCCTCTCCAGGAAGAATTTCTTCCTGATGTCCCATCTAAACCTCCCCACTTTCAATTTAAACCTGTTACCCCTTGTCCTGTCACTACAGACCCTTGCAAGAAGTACACCCCCCAGCTTCCCTGTAGCCCCTTCAGGCACTGGAAGGTGCTATAAGGTCTCCCCGGAGCCTTCTCTTCTCCAGGCTAAACAAGGTGAAGGTGCTTATCGCTTTAGACAGTACAGCACCTGAACTGGCTTCCTCAACCTTCTCTGGGCCCTGGTGCTGGTGTGCCTGCTGTCCTGGCTGCATCATCCTGCCCTAAACATCCCTACCCAAGGGATGGTGAGGCTGTGCCGTGCCCTGTCCCACGAGGCAGGGCACTGGGGCTGCAGGGCTGTCACCCTACATGACTTCTGCTGCTGGGCTGGTTTGTGTTTTGGTCAGTCCTCCCCTTGGGGAATCTCCGTCCTGGGGAGCCCGAAGGCTGCGGGGTCGCAGGGGAAACCTTCACCCTGGTGATGTGTCCCCCAGAGCGGTTGCTGCGCTGCACCTGGGGATGGATGCTCAGACCCTCTCCCGGCCGAGGAGTGATGGAGCGTGGGGGGGCAGCGGGAGCGGCTGTGAAACAGCTCGGAAACGCGGGGGTGAGGAGCCGGAGGGCGGTTGGTTTGGTACTGGTGTGCTCTGTGTGAGCTGGCAGCCAGCAGCTGGTGTGCTGGGGCCGGGCAGCGATGCAGCCCACCGAGGGGGTCTGCACCGACGTGGGGGAGCAGGGGGTGGCTGCCCTGCATGGAGTGCTTCCGAGGAGCCGGCCGGCAGCCTCGTTCCTGTAAGGTGGCGGTGCTGGGGTCTTGCTCCTGCTTCTGGGTACGTCCTGTGCATCCTGCTGCATCCGAGGAGACTTGGGCTTTTTCCTTTTGCGGACAAAGAGAGAGAACCTGGTTGCTCCTGGGGTTTGAAGTAAAGCCTGTCCGGCAGGAGAGGAGCGTGTGAGCGGTATCGGGAGCCATCGGCAGCTCACCCTGTTCGGACAGCGGCTGCTTTGACTCTTGGAGTACAGCCCAGGGAAGGCAGAGCAGTGCAATCTGACCCTGCTCAGGAAGTTCCCCCTCATATACGCTGTTGCAGGGAAGGCTTTTGTTTCCCCTGTGGGCAGCCTGACTTCAGCGCTTCGCCTGCCTAATTCACCGCTGCTTTATTCCGGGGGAGGCTCTGCTGCTGTGGAAACGAAGCAGCTCTTCTTCCTCCTGAGGGAAGGAGAGGTGCTTCCCTTTCCAGGCACTCTGCTGGTCCAAGGCTGGATGAGACACTTGGTAGCACCAGAGGAAAGCAGCTTGCTGCAGCCTGGGGGAGGTCTCTGGTCACCTTCATCCAGCAGCCCTTCTGAGGTGGGAAACGCACTGTGGGCTGCTCGCTGTGACGTGGGTCTCGTGTCTCGTGAGCTGGGCGTTAGCGTTGAGGTTCACCCGAGGGAGCTCAGCGCAAGGAGCGCTGCTTGCTGGGAAGTGCCTGCGGCTGCTCCTCTCCACGCTGCGCGGTGGTGGGGCCCTGAGGCTCCTTGGGGGACTGCTCCTCGTTTCTTACCCATCCCACCCCCTTGCTAAGGCAGTTCCGCTCCAAATCCCTTCTCTGATTTCGCCTTGCAGGTTGTCTAATCTCCAGCACCGAGCAGCCATGCCATCGGCCGTGGAGGGCTCAGAGGGGGGAGAAGAGGGGGAAATCTTGCGCTACGAGGAAACAGAAGATGACAGCGTCAGGTGAGTCCTGTCTCACAACGTGGCACAGACCCAGTCTGGAGCGAGGCAGGAGACTTTCCAGGGAAAGGAGTGATCCTTCTCCTCATCTGAAAAGGAGCGAGGGACTCCAGCAGGCGATCAATCAAATATATGTGCAGTAAAATGTGTTTGATCAGACTGTGCTGGAAAGGATGGGAAGGGGCCATCTGGCTAAGGCTGACAACAAGCAGTTATTATTTTAGTCTCTACTGTCAGGCTTGCATTTCAGAAATGCTTGGACTGTTCGGCAGTTGTGTTTGTGCCTTCCCGGCAAAGGGGAGCCAGTTTTCCATGGCTTGCTGGGCAGGCTCATGTGATAGCAGCTTCTTGTTTTGAAAGATGACTCTAGAGGTGAACTTTGCCCCAGTGAGCTGCCTTTTTTGCTTTTGCAGAATACCTGCCGGTCTAGGCAAGAATATTTTCTCAGAGGTTAGTTTAAAAAACAACAAATTCACACGCGTACTCTAAAAGCCAAGGCTTCAGACTTGGAAGCTGGGAAGGCTGAGTAGGGTGCTTCCTGGAATACCTAGGTTGGTTGGCTTCTCTTTGGCTTGACAGGTTAACGCTGCCTGGCTCTGCCGGCTCATCCAGGCTTGTCTTGCCTGTTGGCTGCAACGTTCAGCCCCTCCGTGTGTCTGGAGTGTTCCGAGCCTGTCTCTCCCAGCTACCACAAAGATGCTATCTGTAGCAAACTAGTCAGGAAAACGAAGGTGCGTGTTGGCGTGATTTTCAGTGAGTGCAGGTGTTAACTCTGTGCCAAACTCTGGGTAGGTGCACTGGCTGAAACCTGAACTCACTGGTGCTTTGGGTTTGGGTGGTTTTTTTCTGTGTGGTAACCTGCAAAACCTGTGTAATTCAGGATAAATAAACTTTTTAAGGGTGTTCTTGCCCTGTTTTGCCATTCAGCTCTTACCTCCAGCAGCTGACACCGAAGTTGGAAAAGCTAGGGACACAGGCTAGGGACCTGCCTGTGTATGAATCTGCTCTTGTCTGAGCCTCTTTCCTTGTCCAGAGTGACTACGGAGGATACTGCCAAGGCTCCTGTGCCCTTTAGGCTGCCCCAGTAGTTGCTCTTCACACGCTCAAGGCCTCCTTTTGTGGTACTGTTGGGGCTCACATGAATGACAGAAATAACGGTGCAGGGATCAGAGGATCCTTGGCAATTGCTTTGGCACCTTGGGTCTGAGCCCCTGGTAAGCCCCAACCCTCCCCGAATGGCAAGTCTGGCTGGCACGTGAGCACCCATGTCAGCAGCAGGAGCCTCTGGCTGCTGCCACCCTGCTGCTTCCTCCTCGTGGTGCCAGCCTGCGGGACCCCTGGGACAGCCACCTTCCATCTGCTCCAACCTGGGCCTGAGCCGGGTGAGGGGGTCCCTCCCACACAGCAGGGACTGATGCGCGTGGCAGTGGGGTGAAAGGAGCTCTCCCTGTTTGCCCGCAGTCCCACCGACCTTTCGGAGCTGCTGAAGGAGGGGACAAAGGAATCCCACGACCGTGCAGAGAACACGCAGTTTGTCAAAGACTTCCTGAAAGGACGGATCAAGAAGGAGCTCTTCAAGGTGAGCGTGGCTCCAGTCCCACAGCAGAGGAGCTCTTTGAGGTGACTGACGTAGCCTCTGAGGCAGAGCCCCACAGCCCCTGTACACGGGGGACGGGGAGGAATCCGGCTTGTAGGCGGTGTGACTGAATAGCCAGAACTATGGGAGGACCCTTGGCCGTGACTCCTGCTTGGTGTATCCACAGCCGGGAGCCGGAGGGATGAGGAGTGCGCTGGCACAGCACAAAGTTCCTTAGACAGAGGTGCTGGGCTCCTGGCCGCGCATCTGCTCAGCTAGAGCACAGCTGCTGGTACCATAAACTGCTTAGGGGTGAAATCCTGGTGGGATTACAGTGCTGACTCCAGCTCCTGGAGACTGGGCTGTTTTCCAGACTTCCATGGGTGAGATTGCTTTCTCTTCTGTTCTGGGTCTGAGCAGCACTGTCGGATCCTGAAGATCTCAGTAGATACAGCACAGCATGAGGCTGTTGGTGCTAGTTGTGCCTTTTGGATGAAGTTGTTCCCCGTGCCTTGCTCTGAAGGTGACAGGAGACCCAGATCACGCAGCTGGAAACGTCAGACTAATTCTTAGCTTGTGTCCTGTGGGCAACATTGTTGGGAACATGGGTGTAGAATCATGGAATTTTTTAGGTTGGAAAAGACCTTTAAGACCATCAAGTCCAACCGTTAACCCAACACTGCTAATGCCACCACTAAATCATGTGCTTCAGCACCTCATCCACACGTCTCTTAAATCCCCAGGGATGGTGACTCCAACACCACCCTGAGCAGCCCCTTCCAATGCCTGTCAGCCCTTTCCATGAAGAAATATCCCCAATACCCACCCTTAAACCCCCCTGCGGAGAAGACCCTCTGATCCTTCAAATTTTCCATGCCTGGTACAGCCTCTCCAGGCTGATTTTTGTCTCAAGCCTGAGGGTTTCCTTGTGTACCCCAGCCCTGTGCAGGGTGCTGTAGTCCCAGGGAGTGACGTGTCGACCCGGGGATCGGCTTCTCACGTGAGCTGTGCTTTCCCCGCAGCTGGCCACCGTGGCACTGTACTTCACGTACTCGGCTCTGGAAGAGGAAATGGATTGCAACAAGGACAGCCCAGTCTTTGCTCCCCTCTATTTCCCCCTAGAGCTTCACCGGAAAGAAGCGTTGGCCAAAGACCTCAAATATTTCTACGGAGAAGACTGGAAAGAGAAGGTTCAGTGTTCAGAGGCAACTCAGCACTACGTGGACAGAATCCATCACGTGGGACAGCACGAGCCGGAGCTGCTAGTCGCTCACGCTTACACGCGCTACATGGGGGACCTCTCGGGTGGCCAAGTGCTGAAGAAAGTAGCCCAGAGGGCCCTGAAGTTGCCCAGTACGGAGGAGGGGATCCAATTCTACGTGTTCGACAACGTTTCCAATGCGCAGCAGTTCAAGCAGCTCTACAGAGCGAGGATGAATGCTCTGGACTTGGACAAGGACACCAAGGAAAGGATCGTGGAAGAGGCCAACAGAGCCTTCAGATTCAACATGCAGGTACTGAACCCCTTGAGCCCATCTGTGTCAGGGCTGGACCAACTCTTGGGCCCAGGGTAATTCAGTCCAACTGCTCATCCAGGCAAAGGGCTTTGGGCCTGAGACCGCTGGAGCCCCTCTGTCTGGGAGGGGTGGGATTCTGGTGTGAACAGCTCTCCCAGCTTTCTGGGGACGTTGGTGGTGATGGGTAGGAATTCCTCCCACGCTCCAACACCACAGCTGAGCCTTTGATCAGGGCACAAACGAGATGACTTCACGACAAGATTCCCGTGGGCCGCGTGAAGCAGCAAGAGGGAGCAGAGCTCTTGCTGCCAGTCGAACGGTTTGGGCATGTCGCACCGCACAGCTCCTGTCTCGCATCTGACGTGCAGCCCGATGGCTGGAGACGGCTGCAGCTGCTTCCTTGAAAGGCGTTCGCCTTTCATAAAACCTGACTGAGCTGCAGGGGAATGAGCTGCTGTGGGGAAGCTTTAAGCTGTGCCTATAGCAGGTCCTTGTGGTTTAAGCTGGTCAGAAATGCGGCGGGAGGCGGTCAGCTCCATTGTCAGGATCCCTATGGACACCCCTGGCAGTGGGGCTGGAGGGGCTGCCCCACCGTGTGCGAACGGGAGCGGTGATCCCCAGAGAGGGGCGGCAGCAGGCAGGGGAGGGCGTCTTGCCTGGGGCTCCCACTGGGCAGACTGGGTGG